CACACTCTCTCTCTCTCTCTCTCTCTCTCTCTCTCTCTCTCTCTCTCTCTCTCTCTGGCATTTGCATAAGGTGTGTGTGGGAGGAGCAAATCCCAGGCTGAGTGAGCGAGAATGACAGACGGAGGGAGGGTGAGGAGGTGTGGGCTGAACCATTTCTGGAGGTGGACAGGGGGTGGAGTAGAAGTCAAGAGATTGTTTCACAGGAGAGATGGGCGTGCGGGACCAGCCCCTGAAGGTGATCAGATAGTCAGCAGAAATCATGAGTTTGGGCTTATTTTAGAACTGCCTGGATTTTTATGTTGGATAATATTGTTTTAGTGATTTTTGTGGGTGTTAAGCAGTTGTAAGGCCTTTACCTTTAATTAATCATGTCAAAAAGTCCCTGAGCACGTGCACAGATAAAATAAGACGTTAAGGCAGGAAGGAAGTACTTGAGAAATACTCAAGCGAGTGCTGTCTTTCTTCCTGTGCAAGTGTGTGTGCGCGCCACCTCACACCCATTAATTGGCAACATCGGCAGTGACAGAAAACTCATCTTGTAATGCCTCCAAATTAATCCGAAAACAGAATCTGTTATGTAAGTGCACACATATCAAGAAAATCATTGATCTGAGAATTTCGTGCTCTCACAAATAGAACTGCAGTACACACACACACTTTCACAAATCCATTTCTTGTGTGTGCAGATTTTACAAGAGGAAGTGGTGTCATGAAGACCAGTCCAGTGGCAGGTTGTGCTGATTAGCAAATGTCACTAACAGTGACCATCAAAGAGCAGAGGTCACACACAGGTCAAACCATGGCCAGAAGCACTAGGCCAACAGTCAGCCAGCGTGTCACTGGAAGAAAGCATTTTATCACAGCACACAAAATGGGTTGATGAGATGGATAAAGACAGATATTAAGGGGAAAAATAAACAGGTAGGCCTATCTGTTATATACAATATTCTTAATATACCGTAACATTCATATTATGAATCTTTTTGACACCAACTATTGCTAGATTGAGATTTTACAAAAAAAGTGAAACCAAATGTTTCATTTTCAGGAATTTACACCCACACCCAAAATTAGAAAAAAATGAGTTCACATTTAGCTTTAATAAAATGCTTTTATTATACATATGTGCTTGTGTAATGAAAAAAGACATGGAGCGTGAGAGAAACACAGAGGAGGACAGAAATGTCTAAGAACAGCTAAAGTTAACTGTGTATGGGTGTGAGAGACATGAGCACTGGGCCTCTGAGACCCTCCTCTGCTCTGCCTTTTAAGAGCTTCAAAAGACATTCTAGCTCAGTATTCCCAGTTTCCATTCCCCTATCAGTACTTTCAGGAATTAATGTTTTGCCTGAAGTTTATTGTGGTTGATATGGTGGTTTTCACATGCTGGGTTTGATGCATAAAGACAACAGAGAGAATTAAAAACTCCTCTCAAGTGAAACTCAGATATATAGACCAGCAGGTGCTGCTATCAAATCCATTAAGCCTCATGTAACTCATGTCTTTTTCCAGCCATTAATTACTTTATTTATGAAATATTTTAGCTTTGAGGATTTCCCCGATTATCCCCGCAGGGAGGTTTTGTCAGATTTAGCTAACTCCTGGGGACCATTTTGTCCCATATACACACACAGCCCTGATGACAAGGTTAGGTTCTTCTCAGTCCCACTACATTCCCAGCGCACATATGTGACCCTGGACCACAAAACCTTGAGTCTTAAGTGTCAATTTTTAAAAATTGAGATTTCTACATCATCTGAAAGCCGAATAAATAAGCTTTCCATTGATGTATGGTTTGTTAGGATAGGACAATACTTGGCCGATACACAACTATTTGAATATCTGGAATCTGAGGGTGCAAAAAAATCTAAATATTGAGAAAATCCAAAAGTCCAAATGAAGTCCTTAGCAATGCATATTACTAATCAAAAATTAAGTTTTGATATATTTACGGTAGGAAATTTACAAAATATCTTCATGGAAGATACTTTACTTAATATCCTAATGCTTTTTGGCATAAAAGTCATTAGATATCATTTTGACCCATACAATGTATTTTTGGCTTTTGCCTAAATATATATCCAAGTGACTTAAGACTGGTTTTGTGGTCTAGGGTCAAATATCTGTGTGGGCGTTTGGCTTTGAAACAAGTCATCTTTTACATATTAATGGCATAAGCACACATACACAATTTTCATTCAATATCCATTTAATATTCATCTAAAAAATAAATTTATATTAGTTTTATTACAATATAAAAAACTTTCTCTGGAGAAATAGAGAAATGTCATACATCTTAGTGCATTTTAAATGCATAAAATGTACAATTTACTATTACTAAAAGATTGCAATATTTTATCTAACTTAATACTAGAACAATTTAAATGAAAATAAACCAAGAAGTTATACAATAAAAAAAAAATACTACAATACTTTATTGTAATACTATAATATTTTCAAATGTTACATTTATAATTTTATTTTATTGTTGCATGCAGACATTTGGTGAATCTTGATTTCTCCATCCAGCAACATTCAAATCTGTTGCTTTAAACACAACTTTTAAAAGTATGTAGGCCTATAAATTGATTCATCATGTGCCTCAAATCATGATATGCCTAACAAACGTGTGAAAAAACATTCAGACAACAACTGGCTTTAACACATCTAATGACAGCAGAAAGAGTAACAAGAAAGAGATACAGCGGGTCATGAATATGACATTAGAAAAGCCCTGGAGATGAGAGAGTGAGAGAGTGTCACGAGGTAAATAACAGCACTGGAAGAATGTGGATATCAAGTCACTGCTTGTCAAAAGATGGTATCTCACTGCACTTCAACACAAATCAACTGCTGTGTTACACACGCTGATGTCTATATATAGAATGCCTTTTGAACAATGTAAAACCATGTTCCACACTCCAAAACCATACTTGAAACCACTTTACTATTATAACTATATTATAATGCATACAGTTCTCCTAGATCACTGCAAGAGCATGTGGAGTGTATAAAGGTGTGATTTTTTTTTCACATGTTGCCTTATGCCACCCCCTACTGGACACAATCATACAATATAACCTGTTGAAAACTATCTGATAAAGCAATCATGCAAACAAACACAAACACACACACACACAGATCAACACAAACAGGAAGCACATTGGTACAAAAACCAAACCTCAACTCGCACACACTGTAATACAAAATAAAACTGACCTGCGAGAGCTTTAATGCGGGAACGCTCAAACAGACGTGCAGAACTGTTTTCATTATCCCACTCTTTTTCAGCTGCGATGTCCCAGCGGTTGTTGATGTCGTTGTACTGCTGCTGGATCTCGACGCTGTCAAAATCAGTCGGTGAGATGGTGCTCATGGTCGCAGCTGGAAACTCAACAGCTGCCCTGGAAATCAGAGAAGTAAACAAGTGAGGAGATGACAAACAAAGTTTATGAGTGGTCTCAGAAAAATGTGACAGAGGAAAGGTGGAGAACAGATATCCACATCACATTTGCTACACCTTTTGCAAGACATTTTTTGAGCTTTACACTGGTAACATAACATTCAATCAAATATTATTGTTACAATTACTTTATAAACCGCACCTTCAAATATTGCTGAAAGTGAAAGCAGATTTAAAATAGTACCAGTGGTGGAAATGTTACCTCAGTAACAGACTGTAAGCAGACGAGGTTAGTCTAACCTGGTGCAGCACAGATTGGGCCCATTAGCTGTCCTGCAATTTGCACACATTTAGTATTATGAACATTTACAATAACATCAGAACATGGGCCAAAATTAACAAGTGCCAAGTGCCAAATGGAAAAAACAAAAAGCTTTGCTGAATAAATGAATTTTTTGCCAGCTGGTCAATAACTTTGAGGAATTAACATCTGATACACTATGAATGACATTCTGGCCCTCACTGATGTAAGAGACACATCTGATTAAAATTTTGTAAGATGTACAGCTAAAACTACTCAATTTACCATCAGTATATTATCTACAATACTTTTTTAAAATCTATGTGGCAATACATATGATATATTACAAGCATTAAGTCACCAGAATTAAAATATTAGGAAGAAAAAAACAGGATGTGTCGTGGCACATTTGTCACCAGTAAGATTTTCAGATAGACAGAGACTGGCTCACCTTGATATATTAGACTGTAACTGCTTTTTTTTATACTTGTTGCTTTTTTTATTTTTTTATTATAATAATTAATTAATTAATTATATAATTAATTATATTAAGCAATGCAAAATACAATTCCATTACATATTTATGGTCAGTAAATTTTCTTAATTCACCCATTTGCCAGATATTGCAAAAGGTTAATTCAGGACTCGCATATATGATTTCTGCCTTTAAGGTCTGCACAAGTGTTACGGCAGAACAAAATATTATTACAACAAGGCAACAAACTTTTTGTCTGTCAATGGAAAAAAAAAAAAAAACAATTCTCAGCACAGGAAGAAATAGTTAGGCTAACACATGCAGATAAACTAAGATTAATTCAAACCAAAACCAAAATACAGATTAAACGAAATCCCTCATTCCTTCCTTCAGATTGAGCAATCCCTGGTGCTAATCCCACCATAAAGATGAGTTCTTAGAATCCAGAGATTCTGGAAAGAAAAAGAGAATTGCCTGTAGGACAAAGTTTATCCCATAAATATTTCACAGCATTACAAATCTCCAGGGCCAGAAGAGAGAAACAGAGATCAGGTCAAATGTGCATCCCTCACACACGGTTTTTCTTTTTTTTCCTCTGTTTCACACTGAAAAATATTCCTGCACTCAAGGACACTGAACACTGTCTAATATGGTATGCATATAAAACCATGAAACACCAAGTCTAATTAATTATATTAAGCAATGCAAAATACAATTCCATTACATATTTATGGTCAGTAAATTTTCTTAATTCACCCATTTGCCAGATATTGCAAAAGGTTAATTCAGGACTCGCATATATGATTTCTGCCTTTAAGGTCTGCACAAGTGTTACGGCAGAACAAAACATTATTACAACAAGGCAACAAACTTTTTGATTGTCAATGGAAAAAAAATTAAAAAAAATTCTCAGCACAGGAAGAAATAGTTAGGCTAACACATGCAGATAAACTAAGATTAATTCAAACCTAAACCAAAATACAGATTAAACGAAATCCCTCATTCCTTCCTTCAGATTGAGCAATCCCTGGTGCTAATCCCACCATAAAGATGAGTTCTTAGAATCCAGAGATTCTGGAAAGAAAAAGAGAATTGCCTGTAGGACAAAGTTTATCCCATAAATATTTCACAGCATTACAAATCTCCAGGGCCAGAAGAGAGAAACAGAGATCAGGTCAAATGTGCATCCCTCACACACGGTTTTTCTTTTTTTTCCTCTGTTTCACACTGAAAAATATTCCTGCACTCAAGGACACTGAACACTGTCTAATATGGTATGCATATAAAACCATGAAACACCAAGTCCAGCCAGAATATTTCTAAACCTGTACTAGGCCTGGGCGATAAAACGGTATCGATATTTATCGACAGTACACCTTCTTCGATAACGATATAAAAAATGTTAGATATAGTGCACGATATAGGCACGTGCTATGAGTGACGCAGACAGCACACACAAACAGGAACACGAGTGCTGTGCCTGCCTGTGATGAAAAAATTAATATTAGTCGAATTTAAAATAAACATTTGCATTTGAAGGCAAAAATAGTACAATGAATGTTAGGAGTGTGTCAGGGAGCGTCATCAGTGGAGCACGAGATGCGGTGATGATGATGTAAGTGATGTTGTTGTAGTTTAATGTTTTGTTCGTCTAGCCCACGAGACGTGCAGTTGCTGCGTTATTCATTCAAAATACTAGAGAAATATAGTAGCTCAATGTGTAGAAAATGTTGAATTGATTAAAACTGAAACCAAGTTATTCATCACAGAACACAAATTCAGCGAATTTTTTAGACAAACAAATATAACTGCTGCACTCGCGTCTCACACAAGAGATGTATAGAAAGCCATGCAAAGGTAAAACAGTTTAAACTTTTAGAAAACACGTCACGAATTTGTGGAGGTTTATTCCTTTTCACTGCGTCTCATATGTTTTTAAAGGCAATCTGTGTGATGGGCGATTCGGCTCTTTGGATTAAGCAATGCATAAATACGTGATGCTGTTTTGTTCATAATTGTTTATGCAATTTACGAAATTATATTTGATTTATACGAGTTAATTTAGACGTAATGCACAGACAGTTATTTCCATGCGTGGACAGTTTAATGTGCTGCATTATTTTGCTCATTGCGCCCTCCTGTGGCCTCGGGAAACAAGCCAAAAGTTTAACCTAAAATTAGATATGTTTAATTTGTATTTTGCGTTTGACTGTTAAAACAAAAAAATATTTGTTGTTTGTCTCAATAAATTGGGTTAATTTAAAAATACAGTGGTTAAATGTAAAAAAAAAATTCTATTGCTCTTTGTTTTAAAAAAGGTTATAAAAATGTCAATAATTATCGATACCGAACGATATGAAACATTATATCGGTGATACATTTTTTAGCTATATCGCCCAGCCCTAACCTGTACCCTTTTGATGGGCAAAAGAAACAAAAACACACAGGTTGATGAAAAGGAGACCATAAAGCATTTTGACAAAAGAAAAAATTTAGTAATGTTGTTTATAAAATAACTTATCACCAAAAAATACTGATAACAAAATAGTTAAATCAAATGTAGAAAATAGCTCAATTAAATATATATATATTAATTATAATTTTATGCTTAGAGTATTGCATTTATAGCTTAGCAATGTGCAAAGACCAATTCCAAACAACTAAGTTACAGTATCCTGATCACTTTTGTGTGCTATTTGTTTGATGCTTTTGTATGTTCACTATGTAGAACATTTCCAAATCAGTTTCATTTCATCTACCTTAGAAGGCAGCTGTCTATGTCGGTGGCAGACAGGAAGGCAGGTCAATAGGTTTTTAATGGGAACAGTGCCAGTATGTGCATCCTTTCATGGTAATGTGCCTCAGAGGCCCATGGCTATATGGTGATGGGTCTGGTGGCCTAAATCAGGGGAAGCATATGAGCATGTGTTTTTGGTCATGTGGTAGGGAACAGCTTGTGTAGTTCTCACATCAGTGTGAGCGAGCATGTGTCTACGTGTCCGATATCTCTCAGCAGGGTCCAGGTTTAATCCACTCACCTCACCGACAGTTCCATCAGTCTTAAAGGGAGCAGGAAGAGTGGGGGACTGGACTCTAGAGGATACAGAGTGTCTTTCAGGGACACGCAAACAAAGGAACCCCAGGTGCTCATGATGGTGAAATTCAGATTTACTGATGATCTTACAAGGGACAGAGATGTACAGTGTATTATAGTGATTTATAGACCTGGAATTATAGACCTGATTTCATGTATTTACTTCATGTATCAACGATTGGAATGGAATATAGGGGGGAAAAACTTATAGAAAACAATACTCTGAACTGAGATTTTTTGAATTATTAAAAAAAACAATTGCTGCTTGTTTGATTTACTCAAAATGAGCTAAACCAACACAACTGCTATACATTTTGTTCCAATTTAATTTCATTGAGTTCAATCCACTTGCATGTGGGTAAAATTTAAGTTTACTTATTCCATTTGAGTTGGGACTACATGAATAATTTTTGTTACTGAAACTGGGCAGTGGATTTTTAGTTCCCATCAAGTTCCCTTTGCATAGAGCTGGATAAGGAGAGAAAACATTGAAAATTTAGTGTTATTTTATGTTTTTGATTGAAGGGACAGACCAGTTAATGTTTAATGTTCAGTTATGTTTGACATTTAAAGGGGTCCTATTATGCTCTTTCACTTTTTCAACTTTAGTTAGTCTGTAATGTTGCTGTTTGAGCATAAAAAAGATCTGCGAAGTTACATCTGCTGAAGTCCACTTCAAAAGGAGATATTTTATTTAACAGAAATCACTTTTCAAAAACTACAACGAATGACTTGTTTGGACTACAACGCATTGCTCATTGCACCCTCCTGTGGCCTCGGGAAACAAGCCAAAAGCTTAACCTTTTTAATCTGCATGTAAAACATTAGAAATTAGATATGTTTAATTTGTATTTTGCGTTTGACTGTTAAAACAAAAAAATATTTGTTGTTTGTCTCAATAAATTGGGTTAATTTAAAAATACAGTGGTTAAATGTAAAAAAAAAATTCTATTGCTCTTTGTTTTAAAAAAGGTTATAAAAATGTCAATAATTATCGATACCGAACGATATGAAACATTATATCGGTGATACATTTTTTAGCTATATCGCCCAGCCCTAACCTGTACCCTTTTGATGGGCAAAAGAAACAAAAACACACAGGTTGATGAAAAGGAGACCATAAAGCATTTTGACAAAAGAAAAAATTTAGTAATGTTGTTTATAAAATAACTTATCACCAAAAAATACTGATAACAAAATAGTTAAATCAAATGTAGAAAATAGCTCAATTAAATATATATATATTAATTATAATTTTATGCTTAGAGTATTGCATTTATAGCTTAGCAATGTGCAAAGACCAATTCCAAACAACTAAGTTACAGTATCCTGATCACTTTTGTGTGCTATTTGTTTGATGCTTTTGTATGTTCACTATGTAGAACATTTCCAAATCAGTTTCATTTCATCTACCTTAGAAGGCAGCTGTCTATGTCGGTGGCAGACAGGAAGGCAGGTCAATA